GTTGGGTCTCGGCGTTTTTCGGCAGTAGGTAGGTGACTCCTGCCGTGAGCCAATCCGGCATCTCCGAGGGGTCTGTCACTACCTTCTGCATTTCTCTGGCGAGTTGTTCGTGTAACGATGTTAATTGTTTCAGCCAGATGTTCGGAAGACGGTCGTGCCCGGGGCTCTTCCAGTTCGCTGTTTGTTTGAGTGCCTTCTGCAGATCAGATGTTGTAATCTGGGGGTCACTCATTTCGGGAGTATCCGTTAGCTCCCGCTGGCGACGGAGCCATGTGGCATCGACGTTGTGCCTCGCCGGGCGTTCCATGATATTCGACCAGAATTCTTCCACTTCCGCCTTACCAGGGATCTTCTTCACTTCTATGGGTTTCGCTCCCAGTTCCCGGTAGAATAGCTTCTGGTTGTTCGTGAAGCGCTCGTTATGCCGGAAGTAATTGACCTTTTTCGTGCACCGCCTTATTCTCAGGGCCCAAGCTTGGATATTCATCTTCACGTTCTCTGTGGCGATCGGCATCGGACATGATTTTGTACTTGGGGCACAGCCGCTTGTAGGTCAATTTCACTTTCCGGGATGTGTAGGTGATCTTGTACTTGGGGCACAGCCGCTTGTAGGTCAATTTCACTTTCCGGGATGTGTTCCCCTTCTTGATCTCTTGAAGGGTTCTAAGGTCTCGCCTTGCTGCATCGATCCGACTTTGGAGGCGTCTCTTCCAAGGTGGAATCGAGGAAGGGCCCTTCCCGGGTTTTGGGGTCGGCTTTTCTGGTCCTTGCCATTTCTGATGGATGGTAATGGCAGCTGCAAAGGCACGGTGGTTCAGCTCAGTCAGATCGCAGTCCGCAAGGTCGCAGGAGCTGATGATCCGGTTGATCTCCTCGATATCTTTGGAGATGGCAAGGTTGAGCTTCAGAGGTCTTAGTCGGGGCCGGTCGGACATTTGTAGATACCGCAGATCTTCCAGATGGTCGAGGAAGGCGATTCTAAGTTCTTCAGAGGGCGCTACTAGCTCTAAAGGAGCCTCAATTGCCCTCGGTGGAACCTGAAGTGGAGTTTCTTCAGGTTTTGCCTCCTCTTTTTCGGGTATACTACATTCTGGTTTGTCTGGCTGGAGGGTGTTCAGGACATCCTGTTTGATGTTTTCCCGCTCCAGTTCTGAGAGCATGTTGTTCCGCTCGATATAGAGTCTTTGATTCGCAAGTCGTTGCTCGTTGATATTCAGCTCTGAGTAGGATTGATTCCAGATCTCGACCATTTTCTTCCGATACGCTCCTGGCGGATCGGATCGTGCTTGGTAGTAAACCCGCATGACGTCAATGTTCATGGATTTTGTCCATTTCATACGTTTCCGTGCGGGGGGCATATTTTCTGTAGTAGAGGAGGGTCGATTGTCAACGCTAGTTGTGGCATCATCATGTTTCCATGAGTGTGAGGAGCTGGCAGGTGAGGCGCATGCGCCACACCCACCTGTTGCAAGAGGTGCACATGGTGATCCTCTGATCCATGGGGTACCACGGCCGTTAGACTGTCGTGAGTCTCATCCGCCCTTCATCGGTGAAGTGCCCAGCACCGCTTTAGGCAAGCAGCTCGATGTTCCCATGTCACCCATCCAGGTTGTGACCATGATGACGCTGCTGATGGAAGATGGAAGGAGAAACCGCTTCACGGCCAGCATCCCAAGATCATGGATACATCATCGATCGACTCGGACGTCAGCTATAACTGGCTGAAGAAGGGACTGCTGAATGCCGAGACTATGGGACATGCCGATAATTACAGATCGCAGCATAGTCTGCAATAGGCCGGACTTCACGATCTATAAGAAGGAGAAGAAGACCGCGTATAATATTGAAACTTTGTGGGCATGCTGTCCACTGAAGTTTGATTTCGATAAAAAAAACATGGTACTTTTCGGTTATAATGCCCGACGGGACATATTTTTTGAAAATTTTCATTAATTTTCTGATCCAGCAAAACAGAGGGTGCTAGAGAGTTTAAATTTGCGAAATAATTACCTGATGAATGGCTGAGTAAAGAAACAATTCTTTCATATTATATATATATGATCGTGAGTAGCTGACTGACATGAGTTGATATTCACATGCTGAGTTCAGGAAGAATTATACTTTTGTGATACACGCCATAGGAACGCATCTTTTCGGTAACATATTTTCAAATATTCAATAGTTCTCTTTCCTTCAATCAAACGGAGACCCATGGAAAGCTGTAACATGGCAAGAACGTGACTGGTGAAGCACTCAGCTCAAATGTCAAATGTCAGTTTTCCAAAATATTTTGGGGGGGAAACGTATGAGGCTGAAACTGGGTGGCATGTTGTTCCCTTAGTCTATATTTCAGAATAATGAAAAATTTCTTTAAAAAAAAATCAGGACACTTTTTTAAAGTTCCAATTTTCGTGACTTATATTTCGATCCAACGAAACAGAAACAAAAATGTTTATATTCCCTCAGAAGTACCTGTTTGATGGCTGAGTACAGGAAAAATCCTACTTTTGAAATATGCCTCATGAGCGTAGATTATAGGAGGGAAGTTTTGCAAAATGTATTCTCCATCCTTACAAAAAGGGACACATGAAAAGAGTTCAAGTTTGGCACACTAGAAATAAGAGAAGTAATGATTTTGATAAAAATAAAGACTTTCGTCCCCATGTCACGTATTCCAATGGGACGTACTTTAAGTACGTGTTTGCCATTTCGGAAAGAATAAATGAATTAATAGCTATCCAAGGTGTTGCAGCGTCGAAGGCGCGACGATAGCGAGTTTGCATCGACGATAGCGAGTAGAAGTAGAACAAACTCGCTAGTACATATATATGCAGGAAAGTGAAGCAGAAAGAAACGAAGGCCATAAACCAACTTTTACTTTTAACTCCCAGGAAAGGCGCTGTGCGTGGCTAATCAACAGCAACAGACACCCATCCTTGTGGACGAGTTAGAAAAGGAAAATAGGCAACATATTCAATTTAGCAAATATAAAATGCCGAAAAAACTGCCAGCTAAACCAGAGAATGGTAACTTAAGAGAAGTGAAAGCGAAGGAAGCCTATTATTTCCTTATTGTTCCGCAGGATCCTCATCGGTAGTACGGTCCTGCCAAAACCTTCGGNCTTCAGCTGGGTTTGTCCTTGGAATGGGTAGTACTTCCAAGTTCTATCTAATACTCCTGGCACGCTAGGATGACCGCAGAAACAGGTTATAACAGCTGTTGATGCTCTAGGCCGGCCGTGCACCCCCTGACGAAGCCGGTCGAAAAGCGTCAAAAATCTAGCCTAGAGCTTCGCTTTCTTTTCCTTTATAGCCTTCTTCCGCCTGGACCCCCTTTTCTGCCTGGCTTTTCACATTAGTCTCGATTTTCCTGTCGAGGTACTCGCGTGGGTGCTGAGCCATGGCTGTTCAAGGGCTAGCCCTTCTATCAGTGATTATCCATCTTATTATGTTTGGCTTGGAAGGGGGCAATTTAAACGCATTGCCCTTCCAGTCTCTTCCGCAAGTGTGCCAATTTTATTGGCTTTGAAACATCTATATATATATATATATATATATATATATATATATATCCATCTTTTCTCCATGAAGGCATCAAGACTTTTCCTAAAGTTAGTCACAGTATGGGTAGCCACTACATCGTTATTTATCGCATTCCATGCATTAAATACCTCACAAGAAAAGAAGACATTTCTGTTAGTTGCATAAGCATCGTTGGTTGACGATCACCGGTATCAGTGCAGTTTTTGTAACCTGTAGGAACTGAACGACGCATCTTCACAAATCCTTTCCGTTTAAGAACTATGCGATCAACGATCAAGAACTGCGCGATGTCCTCGGTAGAGAAATGCCTCTCTTCGTCCCCCAAGACCCGGAGTCACGAAACACTAATGAACAAGTGCGAGAGGAACTATCAAATTCAATGCTCGTCCCCAAAATCTTAGTGGAAAATGTATTTGAAAGAAAGTCTATGTGAAGGTGGAGGCTTTCCATCGCAAATGTGGAGAGGAAACGCGAGCAGTTCCCTGTTACAGCCAAGGCTGGTAAGAATTTCCTTTGTATCCCTTCAGTCCGCGCCTTTTCTGCAGCTGGGCGTTTCAAAGACGAGGGTTGGACTCGAATCTATCAAGATGTTCGAATATTGCCTCGAAGAGATCGCGCAAGAGAGCGCAACCCCGGGTCCCATAGCAGCATCTACCTATGCCAAGTGCCTCGGTTTCATAGAAGAGGGGCTGAAAGCTCTCTGTCAGATATAGGAGACAATTAAAATCAAATAAATAGATAAACTGCGTCAGGTGTTCGTTCTTCCACCATTCGAACAATCAGTATCCATCCATCCATGCACTGGAATGCACTAACTTCTTTGTATCAAGCTGATGCATGCATCAAGTTGATGCACGATAAGTATTTCAATTGCCCTGCATCCATGAAGCACAAAAAAAACTTGTCGAAATAGCCTCCAGAAATCTCGCCTCTGGACTGCCTCGCAATCAGACACTCATCAACGCCCCTGCAGGGAAGCGGATTTGATGGAATGAGAAAAGAAAAAATCGCCTTCTATGGGGCCGTCCTCTGCTCCCGTTCCTCTGGAATTTGGCAAGTTTTCTCTCTGTATTGCGTCAACTCACGACCTCGTGAAATCTCATCTCATCACATCATTACACTCGTCATTATCTCATGAAATCTGGAAATTCCAAGGGTAACAAAATGTCCAAAATGGGATTTCCGAGTATTACGACGTCCCACAGTTTAAACTTACTTTACTGAGCAGTATCTTCTTTTTCAGTTCCACTCTTACACCTAGTGCTGCCGTCGGAAGAGAGATAAGACAACGTGTTTCATTTTAGCTGAAAATTATTTTTAAATAGAACTGCCGAGCTTCTGATATTTCAGGGACCTTACAGGGCACTTAGATAAGACAAAGTGGGGAATTCCGCGGCAGCAAACTTTGAATGATTGCGCAATCGGATCCAGAAAGGAAAGCCATTTTCAGGAATAGTTTTTCGCAGGGGGATTGGAAATCAACGTATGTCATAACCCACCTTTAAGACGGGGAATAAGAGCAATCCGGGAATATTACAGGTCGGTGAGACTCACGAGCATTCCGGTTAAGACGGGGGAAAATGGCAAAGGGTCACACCTAAGGATTCCCTTAAGGGAAACGCGCTCATCCAAGAATCTCGGAATTTGGATGCAACGAAATTACCTCCAAAATTTGCTCTAAATCTGCGATTGGGCAGCGGACGAGGTGGAAAAAGGAGCCTTAATGGCAAAGCCCTACTTCGACTTTCCTACAGCCTTCGATACCGTTTCTCAGGGTATAAATTGGAGGCGCACGGAACTCAAGGGTAACCGGATTAATAAATGGTTGGGGTGGAGGGAACAGAGAGCAATCGTTAATGGAGAAGTGTCGGCGGAAATAGCAGTCGCAAGCAGAATCCCTCAGGATTGGGCCCAGGGACCACTTCATTCGTGGTTTTCATCAACAATTAAAGCCTCTCGAGTAAAATCAGCACATTTTCCGACGACATGAAAATAAGTTCTCCATCAAGGGGGAGAATTATAGGGAGAGAATCGAGAGGGTTCCACAGCTTTTGGTAGTTAAAAAATAGCTCATGAAATTTAAGAAGAGAAAGTGTAAATTATTCACTCCAGTCATTATAATAAATATAGATTTTCGCATTCGTTTGGCTATGATAAACTGAAGTAGAAGCACGATAAAAGAGTCGCAGGGACCACCTCAGATCACTCAAGTTTTCCTCACACGCGATGGCAACAGTAACAATATGTTTCTTGCACAAACCTGCATTCCTTACTCAATTGAGGGAACAATGCAGCTATAACTTAGTGATAGGCGGGTACGCTCCCAAGAATACATCTGTCGTTAAGAGCGGTATTATATGAATGCTCGACCTTGCCACTGGACGTCAAAAAGAGCAAAAATGCCTCTTAACGTCCCTACCTGAACCTTGACTCTTCGAAGCACAGGGACAAAAATATCCTTCATACTGTCTCGATGCATGAATTACTTTACTAGCATAAAAAGAGAGGAAAAATTGATGCACTTTGAGGAACACAGTGACACAAGCCGACGCATTGCGCTGCGCGCAATATCCGTGAGAACCTTCTCACTTGTGATGAACACTATAAAAGAGATCCGATGAGGACATCGAATCCCAATATTTATTTGGAACAGGAAGAGGAACGAAGATGTTGCCATTCGTGAGTTTGTCCGTCTTGGTTCTGACGGTGAGTTGTGGAGCACTGCCACGCAGACCGGACCCAGACCAACTCATGTACAATGAAGGCATGCTCGGCGGCGACATTGCTGGAGGGTACATACGGACCATCGTCAACGTAAGTCCATTCAAATCCACCCAATCGAGTCGCTTCCATCGCTAATCATATATTGTAATGCGACAGGGGAAGACGGCTCTCTTGCCCGATAGTTTTTACGGACTCTGGACAGATGCTGTCGTCTACTACGAGCTCCACTCCAGTGCCCGTGAGTTAACCACGGCATTATAGGGCTGCCAATTGATCGAGCATTTTAATCGATTAATCGTGGACGATGTAGTTGATTAACATGCCGATTAATCGAATTTTAAGCGATCCCCTAGTTTTTGCTGAGGCATTATGTAAGCTAGCTGGGATTTTCAAATTTCTCCACAAGTTCGACAAATGTGCGAATTAAAAAAAAATCGGAGTCACTCAACAATCGGCTTTCGCTAATTTCCCCCCCCCCCTTTCTCGGAGAGAAATGATTGATTCCAAAACAACGGGAGAATTTCTCCAGCAAGGGAATGTATTTACTACCCTTATTGATCACTTGAGCAAATATTCGAATACTTGCACGAGGAATCAGTCCACTGAATCGTTTTGAAACGAAAATGGAAAGAAGCGATTGATTTAAACCTCTTCTTGATATTCATCCCCGTTTGAATCATATCCTACGCCAAGGCGAGCCTCAGGGAGTGAGTAAGAGTTATGCATGTTGTTGACAGCATTTTCCATACTCACGCTAGCTCAACTTTCACGTATTACTGTACAATAAGAGGAAGAAGAACCAAGGCGGAAGACTAAATAAACGAGAGAAAAGCAACGGCTGAGACTATTTTTCAGTTGATCAACCCGTACAGGAAGAATGCAATAATGTAACTTAAATGACTAAAAGTATACAGTGGCATGAGTGCACGCAAATGGAATTCGACTCGTCGATTCACAGGCCACATTGGATGGAAGAACGAACGAGGCAGAGAAAATGATTTGACACGTTCGATCATTTGTCTACATCATGACTAGGGCTCTCCCCCTCTTCCCGATTTTAATGTGCATTTCGAAACTAGGCAAGAATTACATTTTGAGAAAAAAAACTCTCTGAGTTAGAGCCGTAACTTAGTTATTTAAAATTATCACTACATTCCTGACTTAAAAATGAGGCTAAATCTAATTTTTCTTCCCAAAATTTCGCTCTCCGTGCGGGGACGGAGCGCTAAGCTTCCAATGACTCCTGCAGAGGGTTTTTAATCATTTTTGTAGTTCTGATTTTTTTCTTACAATATGCCATGCACCCACGTGCCTCTCACTCTCATGCTTACTACATCCTCTTCCCTACTGCTGCAACATATGACCATTATCCAAAACCCCCTTTCCTTTTGCGCGTTCACATGCGGTTCATTCCTGCATTCTTCTCAATTTCTCTTAAGAGGCTTCCTTTTTGGATCATTCTGAAAGTGATGACTTTATTGTTTTTTTTTCTTTTTCTTAAACTTACTAGTTGTTCTTTTCCATTGAAGAGTGAATAGAACAGAAAACCCATTATTTCATTCCATGCCCTTCCTAATGAATTTCGTCTTTGGTTCAATTGCGACGCGAATGTCTCGCAGTCAAATTTGAAGAGGTGAATGGGAATTCAGGGCGATATTTGGGGATAGATTAAAATTCGTTTTATTAAGGCTAATTTAACAAATTGTGATTAAAACTTCAATCGATTAATCTAATCGAATTAGCAGCTCGCCTTTTTCCGATTTCTTTTTTAGCTTCATTTAAGTTATTTTGATTTTTTTTTTCATGAACAGAGAGCATCAGGGACCTCCTCAACGCAGCGATTGCTGAGTATCACCAACACACGTGCATCCGTTTCGTAGAAAGGAACGGAAATCCCAGCATCACCAGTTATGTCAACATCCGAGGAGATGAAGCAGGGTTAGTTTAGTGGAGACTATTTTTCCCCATCACAGATATGAGCTTCGTGAACTGACAGTCGTATATGGGTCCTGGGAGATGATAAATAGCGGGAGTTTTCATGCATTTCTTTGCAATTCATTCTAATTAAATAGGTTGGATTGATGTTACGGTACATTAGAAATTGAAATAGCATCCAATAATTGATCCATGATAATAATAATAACACCACTATGGTAATGGAACAATAAAATATAGAAATTCTGGTAATGCACTTTTAATGTAATAGACAGGGATGGGAAGTGATTAAGTAAATGTAACGCATTACTTTTAACTAGTTACTCTTTTTTACGACCGATTGCATCAATAGCACTCGTCTATTTTTCGGACCTGCAATTTAGATGGAGGGCAGCGTAGTTCCTTTTCAAAATTGGCTAGCTCATCCTAGTTGATACTACAAGATGTTAATAAAATGCAATATTCTTCACTAATATATGCTAGACATATTCCTATTAATGCTAGACATATTCCTATTAATGCTAGACATATTCCTATTAATGCTAGACATATTCCTATTTTTTTTTTTAGCCAATTCCTATTCTCTATCTCTTACCTTTGCTTATGCCTCCACAGCTCCTCCTATCAACAGGTACAACCATGTGCCGGGCAAAGAAACGAATAAGTCATAGACCCATGAACATCTCTGTCAAACATCAGCTGCATCTGACTATTCCTTAGAAAGTTATTACCTAACAAAGTTCGATTGTCACAAGTTATAGGTAATCAAATTTTGATTACCTATAACTTTTCAAGGGATAGTCAGATTTAGCTAATATTTGGCAGAGAGGCTCATGGGCGGAAGAGGTTTTTTCTCATTCCCGAAAAATGACACAGCAACTAGGTAAGGGGCTCTGCAGTCGACATCAGCGCCCTCTAGCGACATGCAGCGTCATATTGCGGCATGAAAAAAACCTCCTTGATTCATGAACCTCACTGCCAAATAACAGTTGAATCTGACTGTCGCTTAAAAAGTTATAGCTATTCAAAATTTGGTGGTGACTTCATGACAACCCTATATATACAGGGTGTCCATAAAAAACTTGCACTTTTTAAGTTCAATATCTCTGGAACGGAAAGGCGTAGGACAGTGAAATTTTAGGAGGATACTCAGGGGGTCATGGGATTTTATCTGAGACTGTTTTGCGAAAATTAAAAAAAAAACATACTTTTGGTAGTATTGGACCACTACTGAAAGTATTTAATAAATTTTGGTCAAAGATATAAATGTCCTGACTTTGATTAAAAAGCAGAGGCGAGCTAATGAAGCTTTTCTACACCAACAAGTGTAATGACGAAGAGCCAAGAACAAGTGCACATGGAACGGGCCGATCAAGTCAAACCAACGGCCAGCACGAGTTCAAGCAAAGAAGAAGAGAAGTTTAAAAAGCGAATAGCAGCTAAGGAGGCCTAAGGGGCTGACAAGTCATAGGAGCCCCATCAGGGGCACGATCCTACCAAACAACTTGCAGTGTAGCAAAAAACTTTTCGACATCTCCAGACCACAGGCCTAGGACAGACTATAGGCTGTGGGCCAAGGGCCGAATTCTTCCTCTTCTCTGCAATAGCTATCCTATTCTGCCTTTCATCTCGTTTTCTTCCTGTCACATTTCCAAGTCTTTTTCCATAGGGAACAGTTATAGTTCGGGTTCAGAGGTGGCTCTCTCTAATACATACTCGGGCTCGGATTGCAGCAAATTTATTATATATCCCAGTTAATGATCCCAGTGTATTGGCTCCTCTCTTTGCCAATCTCTCTTTGATTGAGAGCCTAGGGAAGTAGTAGAACCCTTCGGGCACGAATCTCCACACCAGGGGAAACCTCTTATTGCCAAACAGTGGTCTCGCAGATAGTGACTTGGGCATTGTCATGTCCAGATGCACAGAACGCTCTGCACTTGGTTCCCTCCGGGAATCAAAGGTGTGAACCTTGTCCAACTAATGGACTGTGCAGGAGGGATGCATGTAGAACGGCCTTAAGCTGTGGAAGCTTTTTGTTACATCTGTTGCGGCAGCCGCTGTCTTCTTCCTTAGTGATAAATCCCTAGTATGGAGATGCCGAAAAGGATTTTTCTACACTGCAAGTTGTTTGGTAGGATCGTGCCTCTGACGAGTCTCCTACGACTTGTCAGCCCGTTAGTCCTCCTTAGCTGTCATTCATGTTTAAACTTAAATTCTTCGTTGCTTGCAAGTTTGGACTCGTGCTGGCCGTTAGTCTGACTTGATCGGACTGAATTTTCTAACTACTATATATATATATTTATAAAAAAAATAATAGAAGCGACGCTAGTGTCTATACGGCTGCGGATATGTCACTAATGTGCGAGGCATATACACCATCGCGAACCCCCAGTTTTCATGTTCCTGAAGCGAAAGAGAAAATCGAGTACAAACGATCTAAAGAAAACCATCTAAAGATTATTACATTTCTCCGATTCCACTGTGATCCCTTTCGCAACCCCCCTGTGATCCCTTTTGGCGATCCACAGTTAGAGAACTCCTGCTCTATTAAATATTTTGATAAATATATTTAATATTTTGATATGAAAACTATTCAATATTTTGATATGAAAACTATTCAATATTTTGATAGCTTTCATCCATTTGCATAGTTTCTTAAATATTTAGATGAACTATGCAACTGGATAAATGAACTTCTAATGGATCTTTGTGATGAGACCAGAACGATATTCCGCAGATGTTGGTCGTACGTGGGGATGTACAAATTCGGACCGCAGGACCTGTCCATTCAGATCCCAGGCTGCAACTATAAGGGGACCATCCTCCATGAACTCATGCATGCCGTGGGCTTCTTCCACGAACACACCCGCTTCGACCGCGACGATTACGTCATCATCCACTGGGAAAACATCGTCCCTGGCTACGAATACGCCTTCGATATCGTAACCCTGGCAGAATCCCAGGAATTCGGCGTTCCTTACGACTTTGGATCTATCATGCACTACGAATTGGACGGATTCACCAATAACGGAGAGAATACGATCGAACCTTATGGGGAATGGGCTGGGACCGACCCTGGCAACGTCTGGGAGCAGAACTTTTTCTCTCAGTCCGACATTGATGAGCTCAATGCTCTCTACTGCTCTAAGAAATAAACGCTGGTCATTCCCAATGCAATCTTCAGCTTTTTTCTCCCACCCTTCTTCCTTGTCCTCGGACATTTCAGATTTTTTTTAGTGAAGCAAAATGCAGCAGGACATGCATCTTCTCGATACAGCTTGGATTCATTAAAATCCATCACGGGTTCCTTTGAGAATTTAATTCACTAATGTTCTCGTAGGTGCTCATCGTGGATATTTATAGGTTCAAGGCTTGAATAAGGACGTAAAGAGGCGCTTTCGCGCATCACGAATTCCCAATATGCTCCTTGGATTGAAAGGCCTACATTTAATCTCAAACACATCCGCTTCAGTCTTCAGCCTTGCTGTGATCACGACTCCCTTCCTCACAAGTTTGGAAATGGGTGAGACTGAGTTACCTGTTAGAGTGAAATAGATAACATTTTACAGGATGGAAAAATTATGGGAGTACATCAAGTACAAATGAAAAATTGTGTATCTTCAAATAACAGCAACCTATAGCCAGTTCCCTATAAACATTAGAATCAGGTGGACACAAAGGGGGGGGGGGGGGTAGGAGGAATGAAGGGGTCTGGACCCTTTTTACAGGGTATGGCAAAATAAAGACCAATGGCTTTTAACTTTGATATCTCCACTCACAATGGAACCATTTTCGCGGAACATTCCTTACGCATTTATACGAGTATGTTTCCAAGTGATTCTCAAATTTCATCAGAAATTGTTGAGCTGAAGTAATCATATCAGTAATTATTGAAAAGAATTTAGACATTGAGAATGAACTGGGAGTGAAGTGGTAGTAGAGTGGGGAAGCTCCAGGAATGCCGAACTTTCAGTTGCCCGTGTATGCCGATTTTACACTAGTCCGCGAATGCCTATGGAGTTTTGCCCTTTAACCTCCTTAGCGTTCACCCCGAGACAGCCTTGGGGTTATAATTCTTTTGTGCTCTTCTGGGCGGTAAACCCGATATTTTCGCATAAATGAATACAGGCGAGATCTCTTCATATTATGAAATACTATATATATTAAATCGACAGAGAGACAGCACACTGGAGTCTATACTGATTGCGTTGTTTGAAAAAAAAATGGCCACGGAAGGAAGGATCATGGATCAGGAAGGAGACGAGATTCTGTTGCATGGAGTGTGACTTTGGATTGCGTGTGGTGCCTTGCTTCAAGGATTATCAAACCAAACAGAAGTATTAGTTAATTATTGTTCATCAGTAAGTCTATTGTGCGTATTTTCAACATTTTTTCTCAGAAATCTTCATCATTTATGATTGTGTGCGGTGTCACCCCAAGAATTACAGTACAAACACATAAATTCCAATTTTTTTAAATATAAGCATTGCATAGCTGTCCAATGTTTTCAAAAGTGTTCAATCGTATTCTATTTTCATAATATATATAGGTAGCATATATAGTATCTCCTACCACAGTTCAGCAATAATTTAATTATGACAAGTGTGTGCGTGAAATTCGATCTTCCAGTAAAAAACCAAATGGAAAAGAAAAAGGGGCTCTGAGGTGTAAAGAATAGGGGAATAAAAGTGCGGCAAGGAGGTTAATGCCGACTGGGACGATGAGAAATGTCACTCTACTGTACTCTGGAAGATTCCGGGAATGCTGACGTCGAATTTCGTCATAGAGGGACAGGTCGGCCGAAAATGTCCACTTCAAATGTCAGATTTGTCATAGAATATAATTTAAACTTTGATCTGAAGTTATGGATTTTTGGCAGCCATGTTCACTTTCAAATAAACGAGAGCGGACTACATCTGCAGCAAATTATGTGAGATAATAACTTAAGCAGTCATAAGTTGCAGTCGTTAGTCATTTGTTGCCATACCCTGCAGATTTATACCATAAGGTCCTACCCTTCCTGAAAAATGAGCTAGGGAGAAGGTGTTGCATAGATGTCGCATAGCGTCTCCCCGCCTCTCTTTCCCCTCATGGCTCACTCTGACGGAAAGCATTTCTTAAGAATCCATCTACCTCCACCGGGTCTCTTATCTGATCGAGGAGAACGAACTTCCCCTCCCCTTTTATCCACCTCCCTTCACTTTCCGCGTTCTGCATTCTTCGCCTCGAGACATCGGCGTGGTCATACCGTTTCAAAACATCATGTCGTCGTCCGAATTAAATATAATTGTATTTCCTCTTCAATGAAAACCATCTGCAAAAGATAACCAGCCCAAAGACTGAATTTAGATTGATGTGGAGTTTGACGTGGTCTTGATGACAAGGAGGGACAGCTCTGGAGTTTATCCAGCACTACTAGCAGGAGTTCTTGTCCATTCTCAATATCCAACTTCTTGTCAATAATTGCTGATAGAATTGCTTCAAGCTCTCCAATTTCGGATGAAAACTTGAGAATCACTCCAAAATATACTTGTACATGCATAGAAAAAGTTTTGCATTGTGAGCTGAGATAGTAAGGTTGAAAGTAATTGGTCTTTTTTTGTCATACCCTGTATATTCCCCATTCTCCGAAACAACCCAAACTAATCTAGTTGCAACTCATTCTTAATTCATATATTTTGATTAAGGGCTGTGTAAGAGAGATGGATGGCATGCTTTAATGGGTGCTCTCATCCAGACTGGCTCACTGGGATAAAGGGAAATTTCCCGGGGGGTCCTCAGACCCAAACCCTCGCATCCCCCATAAAGCAGACCAAAGGGCCCCAGCACCTGGTGCAGGGAACTTGGTCTGCATTGAGGGAAAGGGGTAGGGGAGGGTGCTGGGCCCTTAGTCAGCAAATTCTAGGGGGCCCCTAGGCCACCAGTCCGACCTTGACCTATTTTTATACCGATGCATGAGCATCACTTGAGCCATCAACAGTGGTTTTGAACAAAACAAAAAATTATAAGGCAACCGTGGGTATTCGCGACAGTGATGCATTCGCAGCACTTTCAACTTATAAGGTAACTGTGGGTATTCGCGGCAAATGCAAGCCTACTTCGAGAATTTAAAAAATCACTGCTTAGGAGTGGAGTGCCATATTGGAGTCCGGTTTTCATTGAATTGACGTGAAGGGATTCCAGAATACCGATCGTGTTATTTCACCGATTTATAGCACATGGATGGGTGGCTAAGCTAACCTGAAACAAGAGAACCCATACTTTTCAACGGTAGCCAATTGCGTCATGACTTCTCTGGGTCTGCGGCAGGGCGAAATCAGATCGCGTCGGCCCCATATGAATACATGGAGGTTTAACAAGAGGATCGCGGCTACTGGAATATCATAATTGCGGCACCCGACTCATAAATAAATAAAAATAACCCTCTTTATTCCCAGAACACAAAACGGTACCAAAAAAAAGCGAAAAATATATAACAGCTTCTTTCTTAGGTACAATTGCCGATGAAAATGTAAAACGAAAAATTTTACTCTGCTTCTCTGCGAGCTTTGCTTTCTCCATGTGCAATCCTACTTAAAGCTTCCCTTAGTTCTTCCCTGGCCCTTTTTTTTCATCCTCTATTTGAACATAATTCTACTGTCCATTTTCTTTTCATGTCACAGTATCCTTTGAGGAAGTAAACATTTCTATTCAAATAATTCCAAGAAATACTTATTTAAAAAACTTAAGTCTTAACCTCAATCGGGGAAATTTCTAGCTCCTTGAAACATTCTGAACTCCAAAACTGAGACATCGAACACCCAGATATGAATACCTTCCAAATTCTTATTCATTCAGATGAATTGTATATGTTTACGTGTATTTTACCTTGAGAACTGAGCCTCTTTTCGAATTTTTGACTTATCTAAACCTTTAAACCGTAACCTTTTACCTGCGATTTTCCACTATGTTACTCTGTATGTTACTCCTATTCAAGAGAAACAAATTACAAGATTTTGCTCCTCCATTTTCAGGGTAACAAGCTAAGAGTGTAGTTGGACATTCATTCATACCAAATGCAGCACAAGAGGCAAGGAACGGAAGCAGAAGCATTTGGTTGAGAAAACTGTATGCGATCACGGCACCCCTGATTTGGTGCTCAGAATGGCAGGTACTAGCCATTACTGTAGTTCTTCATCTTAGTTTGATATTTTATGAATATTCAAGCATCAATACTTTTCCGCAAATGTAAGAAAAATAAAATCAATGGTGGTTATTGTATATGGGTCTTAGCTAAGACACCTGACTAGCTCTACAGGCATGTGCATCAGCACACAAGTTTGCGGTTCCATTGACAAACTGTCCTGCACAAAAGAATTACCATGTTGACACATGAGTTTTGGCCAGATATTGATTGATTTTTATCATCATTACTCACATGCCTTGCCCACTGCCCTGACTCCTGAGATAGTGTATATATGAGTTGAAAGTGCTGCAAATACCCACAGTTACCTTACATTCATCTAGCCCAAGTGCCTCATCTTTTTCTTTAATGGTGTGAGTGTAAGCTACAACCATCCCAAGGGTTAAAAATCTCAACAAATGTGCATACTGCAAGGGTCCATTTGCATTAAACATTGCAGGTTTGGAAAGGATGAGTTATTTGAGGTAACAAAATAAGAATACTGTGTTTCTGTGCTAATTTCTGCATTCAAGACCTCCAGCACCTTCCTACTCCATCAAAGACATCTGGCAGCCTCATAAAATAAAGTAAAATATAATTGATTCAAGAACAAATATAGGCATTTCAAATAGCACTGATAAGACAATGAGACCAAATCCCTGCACATGATATAGCACATATCATTCAAAACCAAGAACCCATTAAACATAAATCTTTCTCTGCTAAGCCACTCAAGAGGTATCCAAGATGCTCAAAGATAGCAGATAACATGTAGATATGCTAGGATTCAACCCCTGATTATGGATGAAATGGAAAAAAACCCAGCTCAATGCTTAGATGTCATGAAATCATCCAGTTCAGATGGGGACGATGGGTCAGGTCCAAGCCACTTCTTCTTTAGCACCACAGCAAGTATTGGGAAACGATCAGAGCCAAATAAGTAATGCTCCTCTCCATTGGCATGAGCAATGATGTAAGGAGCTCCAAATGCCTATAAAAAAAAATAAATAAATTATGCAGGGGCTTCACAATGAATCCATTCTTCCATCCAATGAAGTTTGGGCTTTAAATGGAATATATATATTTTTTTACAAAAATGTCAACACCCTCATTTGCATTTGTAATGACACCCAGCAAGAGGAATTGATCAGAAACCAATTTAATCTCTGAGACTACCTGAATTCAGTCTTACTAGTCAGTAGCCTGTTCAAAAGCATGGAAGAATTTAAAGGCAATGAATGGCCATGGGAGGGGTGGTCAGATCACCCCCTCACTCCCTGGATCTGCCACAGGCTGACCATGTGAGAAGAACATGGCAAAGAATTCTCTCATTTCTGGAAGGTCAGCCACTGTGCTTCATTAATCATCAAGGCAAAGGCATGGCAGACAGGGAACTGATGTCGAGTGAAGATGAAGGGCAGCCCAAAATCCAAAACGTTAACTTTGAACCATCCGTCGTAGGACAATGTGGTATGTGGGTGTTTATATGTGGCCTCACACTGCTCTATGAACATCACAACCCGTGGCACACATTTCTGAACATTAGTGGCAAAGAGATGGAAGAAGGATTTTGGTTGCCCGTTAGTGGCAGTCTATCTCTTGGGTTAATGGACTTAGGCTACATTACGTGAAAATACAGGGTGACCCAAAAAGGAATGCAACAAATACAAGCAAGGATATTTTTCCTTATGCTAATCAACAAAACAGACACGTTTATTAGAGTACAAACTTGGTAATAAAAAAAAAAAACAAATTTTAATGTATCCTCATTTTGCTTTGATATGAGACTTCAAGCGCTTCAGAAAATATCTACAATGTTTTGGAACATATTGTCATCTATTTGAGCCCAGGCAGCTTGTACAGATCTCTTGTGTGACTCCATTTTTGTGTACAGGCATTTACCTCAAGAATACTCCAGCAAAAAATCCAACAGGGGATGGTCAGAAGAATCACCATGCTCTTCAAAGTGGGAAATTGTGCATACAATGGTGGATCAGTGAATTTTTAGGCGTTTTGTGACTTCTGTGCATTGCATTTTGAACTGGAAAAGCTACAAAATTGCTTCATGGTTGGGATGCATCTGAAAGTAAACGAATGAAAAATATACTGTTGAAGGCTGAAAAAGACAAATAATTAAAGCAAAACAAATCAAACATGACATCTTAAAAATCAGCTGAGTTATGTTTTATTTTAATTTCACTTCTTGCATTTCTTTTGGGTCACCATTGATGGCTATGGCTATGGCTATGGCTATGGGAGAGCACATGTGATCGTGCTGTGTGCACACATGCCACCGACCACCACCACCACGTACCACAGCAGATTTCATTATATAGATGATTATATAGTTAGAAGGGCACCAAAATGAAGTACTTGGGGGGGAGGAACATGCAAATAAATGGTTCACAGAAGTATTAGATAATGCAACATTCAAAAGTTATTACATCTGAAGCAATGAGTGAAATTTTTTCAAACTTGATATGAATCTTTATTACTCATCTGCGATTTCATTTGCCAATAAACTTGGGTTTTACACAGATGGAGATTTTAAAAAATTTAGAGCACCTGTTTGCAAGACATCATCTGTCTTTTCAAGTGAAGAGTGTGATTAGAGAGGATAACCATTGTACAACGTACAATTAGGCTGCATTTAAATATGGACAGTTAGAGACCAGAAGCATTCAAGGGGTTGCTAAAAAGGTCTCCATGGACCATGGGTTGTGCATCACTGCTCAGGGTCAATGTTGAATATTGACAAGATGGCTTCATGTGTTCCTGTGCCCTTACCTACAGATAGATTTAGTTGAACTGGCTCTATATTCAATCCATGATATCACAGCTATCAGTTGCTGACTTTCTATCTCACAGAAGAGAGCATATATTCAAATTAGGCTTTCCCAAAATTAACTCCTAGCACAAAATGAAGCCACTGAGATCAAATTCTCTTACTCTCAGTCCCCCTTCAACATGCATGGAGAAAGTTAAATGTAGGACAAATTGACACTAAAATTAAGGGATTCCAATCAAATCACTGTCTTAAGTATACAACTGAAAGACTATACTGAAGTCAGGATAAAGTGCAAGCAAATACCATGTCACTATAGAAAAAGCGTAACTTTTCCTAAAATACATATTATTTTTGGTTGAACAGCAGTCAGCACTACTTACTCCTTTCTTATATGCATACTCAGTTTCTTTTTTCAAATTTTCTTTGACAGCAGTTGTTTTCAGCATCTCAAGACATTGCTGGATATCCTCTTTAGAAAGACCAGCCCTTTCACCCACTTCTTTAAAGCTCTCTGCCTCTGTGATGTCTTCATCCTGAAACAAATAGATCAATTATTCATAGGTGTGGTCTCCTTTTCACAACCCTACAATCTGCATTGAGAGTACACAAAGCTCTCTTCCCTCGTGTAACTTCCTCAGCATCTAATGATCCACTGATGAATCTAATGAATGAATGAATGAATGAATGAATGATTCTAGGCTGCCGTATGGATAGAAGTGCACACCTCTGGCACCTAGCTTCAGCAAGCGATTTATACCTCATGACACGAAGACTTGAATTATGCTGTCTAGTAACAGAAAATAACACCCTTAAATCTGAAGCACAAACAAAAAATTACAGTATGAAGATGACTCATCATGAAGGATTCCCACAGAAAAGACAAGTTAAACATCAAGAACAATGTAATTCACAGATAAAAATCAAATGCAGATACATTATACAAAGGTGATATTGATATTTTGATCCCACCATTTGTGAAGATACTACAGATAATTGATAACTGGAATGCAAAGACTCAGCAATTCAGCTGTAAAGATAAAGTTGAATAGCACTCATAGAAGCACGAGATAATCTTTACATGAGAGCTGATTCTACCACTAATACACATGATACGAATGACTTTCATAATCTGAAATCACTTGGAAATCATAATCACTTGGATTAATTCTTCTCAGATATTACCTGAATGCTTCCTGAAGCGTCAATCAGTTCAGAGGTATGTAAATAGAGAAAAAGTTTGCCAGCATGTACCCTCAGTGGAGGAATTTTCTCAGCAAATATGGTTTGATCTTTTTGAGAAAATTTTGAACTGAAAACACAAAAAAAATTCACAACAGACATGATTATGAGAAAAACTGACCATCACTTAATACAGAAATAACTAGTTTACAATGGTTAGGATGAATGAGCTCATCATGGCCACTTTAAAGTTTAATAATTAAAGCATGAGTTAAGTCTTGGTAGTTGTTAGAGTGACAATACCTGGAAAGGTACGCCTCATTTTCTATCTTTGTGGGATCATCAATGAAGCCTGGCTTTTTAGGTCAATGGTCAACTGGCAAGAAAGGACTTCAGCTGAAATATGATAAAATGCCTTACAATTATGGCACAAGCCTGTCACTCCTAGTTATTTTTGGATGGAACAGAATTGGTACTACACATCAGAAAACTGCAAATTCGGGGAAAAGAAGTTTCATTTGCCATCCAGGATCAACTTATCCAAGAAAAAATCCAGGATAGGAAAACATGATAGCAAAAAACTATTAAAATGATTTTCATTTTGGCCAGCACCTGCCATTATAGAACAAGATGTACATGAAATGCTAAAATGTTTAAAGAAAACACCATACCTTCCTCATCATTAGTTTAGATTTCACCTAACAGAAGTAGCAGTCCTTCAATTACATGCAATGTACAGAGTTAGAAAGGTCTTGTGTGATTTCTTAGATGCTGCACATTTTTTTATCACTGCAAAACCATTAGATTTTTTGCTAATAGTAGAGGGTGGGAAACATTCTATATATGGCACCTCCCTTAGCAGACATTCAACCTGAAATGCAACAGGGATTATCCCTAGTTCTTCCACTGGGTTTGGAATGTCTTTTAACTGTTATATCTCCAACCCCACCAGAGCTGTTTTTGAGAAAATTGTGCAAAGATGGATATGTTTTAAATAGATCTTCCAAATATAATCTATTTTCATTCTGCAAAGTAATGGCTATGAGCATTTATACCAATGAAGCTGGATATTTGAAAATGAAAAGCGTTCATGCTGTAGTCAAGAATGGGAAATGTCCTCATGCAGTGGTTGCATATCATCTAGGCCATATTGAACTTCTCTACCAAGAAAATTCCCTTTATTGGCTTGCTGTTTCTTGCAGATGGTTTTTAACCCTTTCACTGCCAAGGACTTAAATGCCCATCCAACCTCTCCTTGCCTAGCATGGTAGTGGAGGTTCGTCATGCTGAACACGCCATATGGCATGAACGGAGTGAAAGGGTTAATAAGCTTCCTCTCTAATTGATAGATAAATCAATAAGTATGAATACAGAGGAATGAATGAAGAATCTTAATAAGCCCAGAGTTTACTAGGATTTCCCTTAGGTTATATAAGAGAACAAGGCAAGGTGAAGTCAATATGAAAGGAATGGAGTCACCTATGTTTTTTCAGTCTCACATTTCTTTTGAATAATTGTTCAAAAAATTGCTTTAGCCTCATCAATTTTATAACATTTTGGAGACCTGTAGGGAAGGTATGAATCTATGTACAGTCCAACTCTCATGAAAATTGCATGGTAATGATGGTATAGATACATAGGTTAAAGGTTCCTGGTCTTTTGTGACCATACTCAGCATATGCTCCATCCAGTAATGAATACTAAAAGGTTTGACTATTTGAGGCAAATTCTTTTCACCAAATAGAAATAATAAATTATATTTTTTCCAAAGTAGTTTTAAAATTCCTCATTTTCTATTTCCATTCAAAATTCTTCAGAATTCTATTTTTATCAACAAGTCCCAACCAATTTTCATAAAAATTTACATGTAGAAATTGCATGAATCAGCAACTTTTGATCATACTACAAGCAAGGACATCTTATGCCATTCTTTGACCTCTCCTGAATTATCCTCTGAAAGCACTTTATTGATGTTATGTTTCTAATTAGATTACAAAGTGAAGCAGCTACTCAGCCCTGGCTATCTGAACATGGAATGATCAGATGCCAAGGATGGGACTTATAAAGAAGTCAGAATTTTCTGTCCTCTTCTCCTCTGTACTTCAACGACAATTCAGTGAGTGATTTGGCAATGAACCATTCCATCATTAAATGAAATTTAGTGAGGAATGATTCATTGGCCAATGGGAGTAAGAATAAAACCAAGAATGGAAGAAATGCATTCTTGGTTTGGTTTTTCCCTATATCAATACAAATGCTGCTCCATCGCAAGAAATGAGCATTTCTGTTGTCTAGAGATTGAAAATAAAATAATTTTGACTTTGATTGAGAGCAAAGTTTCTCTTCCCAGAAATTTGTTAAGGAAGATTGCTCAAGTAAGAGATGGGAGAATGATAAGAAAAAGGGATAAAAAAATGTGAAGTAGATGAGGAAGGGACAAGCAAAGTTGGCATGGTGCATTTGCCAGCCCATTCTCAGGAAACCATAAAGGAAGTACTTACAAACCTCATCTCTGAACATCAAATATGAACAGCAAAGATATTTGCTTTACTGTTTGTATTTGACCTTATATAGCAAACCATGGTACTAAAAATACCAACATGATGCCAAAGTCGCCAAAATAATTGCCTGGACACCTCTTCTACAAGTGTTGGTTTAACATTTGCAACAGCTGTCACAAATCTCATGGCAGGCAGTGATCCCTTCTCGACCAATGTCTTGACTGGATCCTACAAGAAAAAGAGAATATTAATCATATGATGCAAACAAGAGAAAAATCAATCAACCCTGCCATTTAAAAAAATATGTATTTGTGATATTTATGGTGAACAAATCTTATCCTCTTAGTGATGAGCCTAATGTTGTAATCCCTTATGAGGTTCATCTAGCTTCATTTACCATACAGTATCCTTAAACTGGGCTGTAAAGTCAAGAGTCAAGTCATAGTCACCAAAGCTCAAGGTTTCAATGACCCTTGATCCCAGGGGTTAATCTTTCTGACTGCAATGTGAGAGTGATCATTTTCTACTAATTAGAATTTTGATTTCAGTCACAAATTTTATTCAGATGGGACAGGTTCCAGCTGAAAGAAGGTGTTGTGCCCCAGAGGATGATCCAAATGAGGTACAATGAATTTAAAGGGAATGCTAAAGCTTCAACAATTACTACTGAGAATGAAAAATGAAATCATAATAATGAATCACCTTAACCAAGACTAGCAAGATAATAACACAATAGTTTTCCTTTTGCCTAGGACCAAAAATACAATGTGGCACTAAAAGCAAAAAAAAAACAAAACAAACAAGCTAACCACCTCAAATCAGCTGCCAAACATGAAGACATTTAGAATGCAATTATTTCTGCATATGGTGCTTGAAATGAACTTGAAATAAAGTTAAAAAGCTGAAAACAAATATGCCACTCTGTTCTCCACCTTCATAATTGTCTTGATTTCCAATTTTCCTCACTGAAGAATAGTGTGCTTGACTAATGGTTCATTAAATGCTGCTGATGGTGATCACTGGTTATTATTATTAAGCCCCATGCCGACCACTGTTCCATCACTATCAGTTACACCAAATCATCTGGCATTCAGGGAAGGAGAAAGGGTGAGATATCTCTTCCCAAGGTTGAGAAGGACTTTTCCTCTCAGCTTTGAAGAGAGAGCTGCAAATGGCCTTGAACATATTCCCACTTGCATAAGAACAGATAAACAATGCTCCCTGTAACAAACATGCACCTTGATGGTGCTCCAAAGGACTCTTGAATAATGTGTAGGTATAATAGAAGATAATCATTTATTTTACAAATTGGAGAGGAAACTTAAGAATATTGGATTTTAAGAACTTAAGAAGGACTTTGGAAGACTACCTCCTCCAAGAAAACTAATTTGGTCAAGTAAAGGCTTAATTTTAGAGTTTTCATTATATGCCACAATCTATTATCAGCTGCTAAATGTTATCAGTTTTTCTAGCACTAACATGATCACAATGAGCAGCATCTATTCATAACAAATTTCACAAGAAGTATCATAGATAGTGGTGCAACACTATAGAGACCATTCTCTCTCCTCTAAAGGGAAAAACTGCCAACCAAATTGTGCACCTCCCAGTACCAGGATATTCCTTTGACTTATTTTTTGTTGCATTTTTTAACATTTTGAACAGGCACATTTTCCATCAGAACAACTTCAAGTTCAAAATTCTGTAGCAGAGTAATAATATTCACATTAATCATGCACCCCAGACAGAGTTGCATTCAAATCATTTCTTGCTTCAAAATTTAAAAGGTTTAGGTCAGCTTCTTTTTGTGCCATTGTATACATATGTAGAACTGACTGATTGGGTTAAGAATAGTCATCAAACCAATAATCACTTTCACCATGCTGAATGCCTTATGCAATGAAATACCAAACCTGGGAATTTCATGACTATAGACATCATAGCTGCATTTTCCTACCTTCCACTCCTAAAGCAAGGAGGAAGAAGTGAGAAGATATGATGGCTGTTTAATGGAGACCAACAGATGATGAAAATTATTTATATTAGAGGGTCTGCCTTGATTTTGTGACACTAGCACCACATTGTTAAAATACTTCACATACATGTAACTCAATGAATAGCATTGTATGACTCAAAAGATTTTCCAAATATCCATTCAGCCATCGAGATGTCAACTGTGAGCATGCAGGTAACTTCCTAGAACAGCAGTACTCAAAGTGCAGCCAGGAGGATGCATTCAGCAAACAAAGAGCCTCAGTGAACATTCACTTTCATCCCCCCTATTCTAAGAATATGTGACTTCTTCATTAATCCCCCACTTTCACAGTAAATCATGATTTAAAGACTATACCATGAGATCTACACAAGGCCTGAGCTGTCTCCAGAGCATTGGCTTGTCATATATGGCAACCGCAACCAGCTAATGTTGTTCAATGTAATACTGTATATTATGCAATTAATGCTCTGGCTGTGGAAATCACAAAGAATCCCGTTACTAAATTAGAAAGTGTAATTGGTACTGTATAGTGTCATGACTTTCATCAATTGATCATCATCCAGAAGGACTGCTTAAGCTGGCATTTCCTCATTATCAAGAGATAATAAGGCTGCATTATTTTCCAGAAAGCATTGAATTATCAATCGTAGAGTAAAGCAATATGAAGAAGTCTAACTCTAGATTTCATGAAAATCATTGAGCTCTTCTGACTTTTCGAATTTGAGTGCACACTCTCATTACTGGTCAACCAACTCATTCCTCAACATTTCAATCGGAGTCCAAGTATATACCTGGCATAGTCACTAATGACTCTTCGACAGTATATATAACCCTATATATTCTCCAGACCTGATGGTGCATATGCACCCAATAAGTCTTGCCTCTTGACAACATCCAGTGGCATATAAATTACCTTAATTTCATTCCAAATAGAGCTTATCAATGACTCAAATAAATAATTTCAGAGATGACATTCATGGAAATGGAATACTAGAAGCAAAAGGCTGAATTGTGCGGTGCTAAATTTTAATGCATTTTTTGCAGACTGAGAAGAATTCAGCAAAAAGTATACATGTTAGACAGGAGACCTGTAATAATAGAGCATCTTTCACTTGTGTCCAGGTATTTTCAATTTTACTCCAATACACATGCATAGGAAGTGCCATAATTCTATGTCAAAGTGTCTGGAAAAGCATCTAACTCAGATTCTTATTGACTTTTCAATGTTTGTTGATCCATCAACAGATTTCACCAAAACTACTAAACTGACTACCTTTGTAGGCTTGGGTGTTTTGAATGAGATTTTTGAGTATTTCCAGATTTGAACTATTAAATTGTCCCAATATCATGGAGTTATGATGAGCCAGCTGCCAAAGAGTAACCTTAGTGCAATTGCTCAAAATAATCAATAAGAGGGAGTTTTCCAAATTTAATAGGACAAATAAAAAAACATTTAAAAATTAATTAAACGAAATAAATAAATTTCTTTCTTCCAAATTTGATGTATTTAACTGAAGTTTAATCTTCTACTGTACAACTGAATGCCAAATATCAACAGAATATTTGGTGCATCCTTTAGGACTTGAACAATTGGGCAATACTCCTGAGTGACCAATGTCTTTTACCTCTATCTGAAGATAAATTTTTATTTGAACTGAAACCACATTTCCAAGCCAAGTGATAAAAATGAAAGTTCTTTCTCTCTGAAGAAAATTTGATTTGACACTTGACATCCCATGAATTGATGTTGAGGATTTTGTAAATAACCAGAAACTTACTGGCATCTTCCTCAAAGGCAGTTTGAAGTACTCAGCTACTCGCGGTACATCATAATGCGCATACTGAACTTTGTTGACGACAGTCAGGGGTAGTTGGTTCCCAGCCAGATTCATAAGTCCAGGGAGGAAAAAGGGCCGGAAGCACAAATCCAAATTCCATGGTCCCCTGTAGCGACGTAGGATCTAGGGGGAAAAAAAGTCATAATGTATTTATAGAGACAGGTGTGGTTTGCAAATGACAAGACTAATGAAGGGCCTGCCCATGGCTATCTAGTTGGAAAAAATTATAGGAAAAGAAGTCACACTGTGAAATATCTTTTGCCACTTCATGTGCCCAAAGATTAGCATAGTGCATGCAGAGAAAATAGAATAGTTGCAAAGTGCATGAGCATTAAGGCAACTGGGATAAAAACTTGGGTATGTGCGATGAATTCTGACCCTATATACTTTCTGTGCCTAAATCCTTCCCTGGTGAACCCTTTGAACTTGATGGTTTTTTTTTGGGAGGGGGGGGGGGGGGGGTATACCATTCAAGTAAATTCAGGCACAATCCATTCCTAGCTCAAGATCGAAAACTAAATATATTTAAATATTTACCTAAATCAGATAAATTAATGTTTCGTAACACATATTGACAATTAACCATATTAAATATAGACTTGAATTCACTGTCTACCACTGAATAGATTATGCATGTTTTCTTACTTCAAATGCAAACCAGGAATAGGGAGACACCACATCATAAAGCAGTTCCACTTTGGATGCCATCCTCTTGTAGTACCTATAGGTCAACACAGAAGGTGGAAGCTTTTAATTTTAAATCATGAGAGGCCATCCAAGCATTGCATCATGCCTTTGGGAAGACAGAAGGGTGAACCCTGTACGATACTGAACTTTTAGAATTTCACTTTTTTTTCTGCATGATGCAAAAGGAGGACCTTTACTGCAACTGATGTATTTTGTTGGCTCTCTCTTTGTTTAAGTTTTTCATTCTTTTTCAGTCTAGGCCTCAGATTTCATTACATTTGTCATCTTTAGTGGCAGTCAACATCAACTCAGTAATTTTTATTTGTCCTATATTAAGAAGTCAGCAAGGAACTGCATGCTAATGAATGCTTTTAAAAAACATGTTCTCTGTTATGGTTAAGAGCATGCCCCCAAAGTTAGGCCATATTCTCCGTGATCTGACGTTAAGAAGTTCAAGAATTGCGATGTGGTGTGACTGGGGAAGGAGGGAGGGGCAGGTAAGGAGGTATCGGTGATTCAATACTTGAATAGCCTCAATAGAGATAAACTTAGCCAATATGCATAACACATAATAATAATAATATTGAGGCTGGTCGTCCCTGGGAAGAGAGGCACAGATGCAAGGAGAATCTCATTATGGGGATTCATCACAGTATACTGTATATAAATAAATATGAGACTATGATAATTAATGCGTGGTTTGTATGTGTATTTTTAGGTTGTTTATTTATGAATAGAAATGTTGCAAATGTTAACAGTTAAATGTTCCAAAATTTTGTTTCTCTGTAGTGGAAAGAACAATGAAAGGATAGAGACCAGAGGGGATGAATAGTTTTTATCATTTGCAAAGCATGCTTTTTGCTGGTGAGTGGGAGTTGTGAGAACTTGAAGATAGGGTGGGAAGCGTGTATTCAGAATTTTGTGACAGGGAGGCAGTTTCAAAGTGTGCAAGATTATCAAAGTAGAGCCAGTCAGACTTTTTTAGAAGCATTGTGGATGGGTGACATGCTGAACATTTGTGGATTATTCTTAAGCATTTTTTAATTTGGGAATTTATTCCATCTAAGATATTGGATGAGGAGCAGGAAGCATACACTGGTAGACAATATGAGATGCGGAGGAGTATGAGGGCATTAGCAAGTAGCTACATTTATTTAGGAGAGATTTGGGGAGATATAGAGAGAATGAGGTACAGATTTTGATTCATTTCTTTATGAGAAAGGTGAGCATCTAGGGTAATGCAAGTAAGACTTTGCAAGTATTAGGCCAACTGGTATATTGGAGACTAAACTGATACTTTAAAGTCATCCGATTTAGAATGGTCCTTATGATATTAGTCAGTGGCGTAGGAAGGAAGGAGGAATTTGGTTTTATTCGTCTTATGCGAGATTTAAGCTTCCGCAGAGTCTCAACTCAAGACTCGTTTAAGAAAACGAGTTCCTGTCGAGTTTAAGAAAAAAAAGTCAAACTAAAACTGGATCAAGTTGAAGGACACTCCATTCAAGGTACCAAGGTATCAAGGTTGAGGTTGAGGTTGAAAACTGGCTGATTTTTTCGACTCAGTTCACTTCAGCTCAGTTCTACAGGGATGGAATCAGGAGTCTGCCTGATCGTTGGCAGAAGGTGATTGGTGGCGATTACTTCATTGAATGAAATATTTTGCTTTTTTTAAAAAAACTGTTGTATGGAATGGGAATGGAATGTATGGCCAGAACTTTCCGATCGACCCAATAGTTTTCAGAAATACTGAATGACTGGATGAATTTTGAACAATTCATTTTCAGGAACAGCCAGACTGTTGTCAGAGAATTGCAGTAACTATTAAATGAGTAGGAATTAATTCACAGACATGAGCTTGCCAAAAACTGGGATAATGAAAGTTCATCAGTTTTCCAGTATGACTGAATAGTGGGCCGCTTTGTTATTCCCATCAGGACACAAAAAAATGCACGAAGATCCTGTACAGAGAAGTTTTTCCATGTCTATACCGTTGAATGTTCACTAAGAGTGGCTTTAGAGATGAAGTCAGCCTCTGTCACTATTAGATCAAGGAGGTTATCTGCTAAAATGGGTTCGAAAAAGTCAATTTCAGAAAGTTCTCAGATATATTTACTTTCACCCTAGGATTCCCTGTAGTGGTCAAGATATCAGGAGCAAGTGGATTGTTGCTAAACTCAAGTCCAGCATCAATTTCTTTTGCTTTCCAGGCCTACCTCAATGCCTCTATCATCGTCATCATTTTCATCTTTTATTTCTGCATCACGTTCCGCTTCAGCTTCTTCCATATTTGCTTCATCACTTTTATTACTACTTCAGGAATGTCCGAGTCAGAATATATAAAAACTTCAATCTCATCATCTGACGCACAACCATCCCAGCAAACAATTTTAAACACAACGTCGAATCAGCATTGAATAAACGTCAGGAACGTTGTTACAACGCTGATCCAACGTAGCTTTGTTTGCTGGGATGTGGGCAGGACGCCATCTTGACAGACAGGAAGTTAGTAAATATCCGAACTTCCTTGTCATTATTCAAGTGATTCCTAAACTCATATAAATGGAAAGGAGCAACATTGTCGCATAGAACTTGAGCTCTTGGTTCCAACGATACCTATCAGATAGCGGTTACATGAATAAATAGCCGCGAAGTAGCCTAGAAACAGTGAATGGTCAAAGCCCGAGTACTCGGGCTACCACTACACAAGCAGCTCGGGCTATCAGAGTATGTACTCGGGCTAGCAGCGAAAGGGTAAAAGCTAAATGTTTTGCAATTTTTTTTAAAGCATATCCTAGACGCTTACTGCCAAGTCCCTTACGTCTACATTGCCCCCCTTTTTGCCTTGTGCATAAAATCATCTAGTCTATTATTTAAAATAGTCACGGAAGGGGCAGCCACTACGTCATAATCTTACGCATTCCACGCGTTTACCACACTACAAGTAATGAAGTCCTGCCTCGACCTGAGCAGCACCTGCGGTTTATGCATCTTGAGTTGATTACCACTGGTGCTCTTGCTGCCATAGAACTGGAAGGACCTACCACTCTCTACATTACCGACTTCTTTCATTATCTTGAAAGCCTGGATAAGATTGCCCCTCCTTAATCTTCTCTCGAGCGAGTACAGTCTCAGCACTTCTAAACGCTTTTCCTACGAAGTCCCCTAACCTCCTTCATCATTCTTGTGATCCTCCTCTGGTACAGAGGAGGATCACAAGATCTATTCACCCTTATCTGTAGGCCTCCAAAACTAGATGCAATATTCCAACTGGAGTCTTACCAGCGTCGCACACAAAGGAAGAATAACGCACGAGTCATGATTGAAGCTTTCCAGCTGCAAGATCACCTAGCAGGACAATGACCTTCTCTTTTGAAACAGATGAGAAGGAATACGCTTTGACAGCAACAAAGGATAACTTTGTCAATAGAATGAAATAACGTAGGTTGTGAGTTCCAGGAATCGTGCCTAACTGCGCAAATCTTTCTTCTAGGAACTTTGCCACTCGCCTGTAGTATTCCAAACTGCAATATTGAAAGAAAATGACAGATATTCTCAGTTGCCCATAGGGAAAGTTAGTGAGATGTCAGTATTAGTTGGTTGTACGATCGTTGGAGACTGGCTCTTGCAGGAAACCTCTTCCCTGTCCCTCCAACTCTGACACACTTCTTATCCGTGGCAGGTGGCTCAGAAGTGCGCCTCAACTGGAAGTCCGTCTCATGATGGCACAAATTAAGGAAAATTTTCTGATTTTTGTAGTGTGAAGCGGATCCATCAGAGAAGTAGGTGCTTTTTCACGGAAGAGAACCAAAACTGTCATTCAGGAAGTGGATGAGGTCCCTCTGGAATAGATCGACAGCAACCGTGTCGTGATTGAGACATTCTGATTCCATGTAGCTCACATGCTGGGATTTCCCGAAGTCTATGTGGTCTCGAGGCTGGATCTGCTAACAGAGATCCACTGTCGGTAGATGATGTAGATCATATTGTGATCCATAAATGATCTCAGTTCCCTTCAGATCCGATATGTCAGGGCAGATACGGCATTCTCGAAAGTAGCACGCTGGTTGATGAGGATTACAGATGATGATCTAGACAATGACTGTATGTTTTCAGTGGAATATTTGTCAGCAATCTATCCGCTCAACATCATCAGTTTCACATTTCGATGGATTGTGCAGGCGCACACGGCAAGCGTATCACTCGCCCCAGCTAAGACGCAGTCCCACATAACCAAAACGCTTGGCCCAACAATGGCCCCTGCATGGCAAGCTCGGCATATCATCGGCATTGGCAGGCATGTTTGGCCCATTCCTAGCTCTAGCTTGGCTAGCCATTTTTCGACACTTCATTGGTGGAGGATAGAGGCCCTTTCTTGGCACTAGGCTGGTTTCCCATTATTGCCGTAACATTGGCTAAAGGAACTGGCTCATTCATGGGTTTAGTCTGGTTTCACATCATTGGTGCATCATTGGCAAAAGACACAGGCCCAAATATGGCTCCAGGTTGGTTTACAATTAAATTCGGCATACATCGGTTGCATGCAAAATTGCTTCGCCAATATTGCAAATTTTGGCGAAGCGTGGTCTCCCTACTATTGCCCTGCCATCATTGATCCCATATCAAACGGATGGCACGATCCGATACGCCTCAATTGCACTTGAAAGTATCCGGGAGTTGAAGTTCTCATTTAGACTACTAGATGGCAGCATGGTTCTCGCTTTTGCAAATAGTACCGAGAGTACCCTTCCACCCGTCTCTATATTCGTCCTTCACAGAAGTACATAGTACCTCCTTTTCATTAATTCATTGAGATCAATTCATTGAGTTCAGGCATTAATCATGCTAAAACTGCCTATAAGAACCCCTGCAGGCATTGTTCTGTTTACACGACGCACTTGAGGCTGTCAACAATAAAAAGCATCTCTTAGCTCTCTTTTTTTATGTTACCAAAGCATTCGATAAGGTATGGCACACAGGCTAATCTATGAACTTCACTTTCTTTTTAAAATCCCCCTGCGATTCTTGCGCTTGATAGCCTCATATCTGTCCGAGAGAACCTTTACGGTCTGTCCGAGAGAACCTTTACGGTCAGGGTCGGCAACTCCTTTTCCGAATCCTTTTCCCCAACACGCCTCTGAATTAGCACTTAACTACTTCAACGACCCTAAAAGGCCAGTAGACATTAAGGAAATACCATCAAAATTGGGACGCTTCAAACATAGGAAAACCTATCCTTTCCATAAAATTCTTGAACGCCTCGGAAAGAGTTGCACTTTAACTCCCTCCTGCCCCCCTTCTCAGCCCCTCCCCTCCACGTGAGACCACCCTTTCTCACAACTCACCATACCTAACCCAACGCCCCATCATCTCCATCACCACCTCTCTCTCATTAAAATGGGAAAAAAATCCAAACTCCCTCGCTTCTTCACGTTCATCCCTGCGGCCACCTCCCGAAGGCACCGAAGGGCACCGGGCACCGAAGCTGAAGAAGCACAGCCCATTGGCTCCACCTTCAACATCCTTCACCTAAACGTTGAAGGCCTACCCTCTGCAAAGCGAGCCATTCTCTGCAACCTTGCATCGAGACACTAAGTAGATGTGATATACTTGCAAGAGACCCATGTAGACTCCCTGGCGGCGAAATGTTTCAGTATCCCTGGATTCGACCTAATTACCAACAGTCTGCATAGAAAATATGGACGGGCCACCTTCACTAGAACTAACCTGGTTGACGTCGAACCACTTGAAACCCAGGATCTCTATGACACAGTAAGGGTTGGCCAGTTCCACATCGCCAACATCTACAAGCCACCCAAAGTCCAAGCCAAAAATCCACTCCCGAAATTCCCCCACCCTGCACTTTATGTAGGGGATTTCAATAGCCATCACACAAGTTGGGGGTACACAGAATCCGATCCAAACGGTGAGGACCTGATGGACTGGGCCTCACAAGGAGACCTAAACCTCCCCTACGACCCAAAGCAAAATGGAACTTTCCACTCTGCCAGGTGGAAACGAGACTTCTCCCCTGACCTCAGCTGGACCACCTCAAAAGGCAACCAACCACTACTAGCCAGCAGTAAGGTCCTGAGGAACTTCCCGCAGTCAGCACCGCCCAATTCTCGTGAAAGTCGATCTCACCATCCCTGTAGTCAACACCAGCAAGTACCCACGTTGGAACTACAGAAAAGCTGACTGGGAACTCTTTACAGAGCACATAGACCGTATATGCATGCATCCCCCACGACATCGCAATAAACGAGGCCTATAGCAGATTCTCCAAAGCCATCTTCAAGGCAGCTTCCAAGATCATCCCACGTGGGTTCCACAAGATCTACATTCCATGCCTAGACAAGGAGTCAATTAAGCTCCTGAGGTAGTTAGGATCTGGTGATCCTGAGATAGCGATTTACCTGTTGGACAGCCTTAGGTCGTTAGGGAAAAGCGTTGGGAAGATGCAACTGCTGAGCTCGACATGACAAGATCCAGTAGAAAGGCGCAGACGCTCATCCGCAAGCTAGGAGCATCACCACCAACTTACCGTCATCAAATCCCTGCTAACAAAGTTGCTACCCAACTAATTAACATTGCTAAAGCTGAGAGACCTTCGAAGAGAGTGTGAATATGAAATGGCGTCTGTACAAACGAACAGAAGAAAAGATCAAAGAATCATTCCAAACCTTCTCTGTAGAAGAAGTAAGAAAAGCTGTGGGGGAGGTCAAGCCAGGAGAGGCTCCGGGCATGGACAACATCTCCAATGAATTCCTGAAGCACCTGGGAAAGAAGAGCATCCACTGGCTTTCCATCTTCATGTCATCCATAGTGCTAGAGAAGAGAATGCATAAGGCCTGGGCCTGGTACAGCACCAAGATTATTGCACTGCCAAAGCCAGGCAAGAATCAATTGCTTGCAGCTAGCTACCATACAATATCCCTTCTGAGCTGCAGCTACAAGCACCTGGAGCGCCTGATCCTGCAGATAATCAAACCTACCGTGGAAGCCTTTCTGAGTGCAAATGAAGCAGGCTTTTGCTTGCTTTGACCACCTTCATAGAAAATAGCTTCCAAGAGAGACAGAAGACTGGGCAGTCTTTCTCGACTTGACAGCAGCCTACGATATCATCTGCCACACTGGATTGCTGCACAATATGTCTTCTGCGCTCCCTCGTTGGGTAGTGCTGATTACTGAGCTGCTGCTTGGAGAACGCAGGTTCAGAGTACAGCTCGGCTCCTCATATTTTTGCGCCATCATTCCCAGAATGCGATGCAAGCTAGGTTTTTCGTGTGTCTGAACGCAGCTTATGCGTGGCGTTCATTTTCTCTCTAGTCCCAAGGCCCAGTGCCTTTTTCAACAATTGTAGACTGATATTTCGA